TAGCTGTGTTGTTGTTCAGCAGCTGTCAATCTTGGGACTTTCAATGGACTTGAATTAATGGCCTGCCGTGTGGTTTGGTAACATCGGCATTGTGCCATTTTATTTGTCGACTTTGGGCTCATTAGCCTCAGCAGCCAGTAGCTGCCTAAGTGAAGAGATGCCTCTAGCTTCAGTGGGCCGGGAGCTGGAGGCAGAGCTGAAGCCCAAGGTCAAGAGGCTTTCACCCAGTCCCTAGAGCCTGGCTTTGACTTAAAGCCTCCAAACTGTGAGAGAATAAACTCCTGTTTGTTAAGGCCTTCCCATTTGTGGTATATTCTTGTCATAGCAGCACTAGGGAACTAGAACAAATATATATACTTAACTTCCAGGAATGCAGCAATTGAATGTAACAATTGTGTAAATTGAGGATGATGCAAGAGCCAGCAATGTTTCATTTTATTGTATATAAGGTCACCAGGAATGAGAGCCAACTGGACAGCAACAATCTATCTCTATCTAATTTCTAATTAGATGAAATGCATTTTAATATGCAAATATCTAGGCAAGACTGTACTAAAAGACAAAATAAGGGCATCAGATATTTCCACCTGTATGTAGAATCACTATGAATGTAACTGCTACAGATGGAGGCTAATACAGAGATACTATATTAATAACTTCAGTAGACATGAATGGCAGTGCTGTCTGTGACATGACTTTCAAAAGTCGTGAACAACTCTTGGTGAATGTTCTGAACAAAATAAAGTTCCATCTTCCTCAATTTACACAATTGTTACATTCCATTGTTATATTCCTGGAAGTTAAGTGTATATATTAAACCTATAAAAACATATTTCGTGTTTATTTGTAAAATAATTATCCAGTTGCTACTGAGTTGATTTCAACTCATGGTGACCCCATGTGTGTCAGAGAACTGTGCTCCACTGGGTTCATTTTTGGGAAACAGGTCTCCAGGCCTTTCTTCCAAGGCCCCCCTGGGTGGACTTCAATCTCCAACCTTTCAGTTAACAGCTGAGTGTGTTAACCGCTTGCACCACCAGCTCATTATACTAGGTTACTCCACCTACATTAATGTCCTATAGGACGCTGAAAAGTTTTACAGATGCAGACTTAGAGTTCCCATGCTATAGCAGGTCAGCAAAAAAGAGGAAAACTCTCAACAAGAGAGTGGATTGACCCAGTGGCTGCCGTGATGGGCTCAGGTATAGCAAGGAATGTGAGGGTGGCGCAGGACCAGGCAGTGTTTGGTTCTGTTGTACACAGGATCTCAATGAGATGGAACCAACTCAACAGCACCGAAAAACAACAAAGTTCTCCTTTCATATTTATCCAAAACATGAAATCCACCATGGCCCTCCTTTTTGTGATTTGGGCTTGCATCCTTTGAAACGAATGATACAGTTTTCACCTTTGACACTATTCCTAAAACCTATTCCCTAAGAACAGCAAGAGATTCTTGGAATATAGTCTCAAAATGGACATAAGTGCTTTGTGAATTATTAGAAACATTGCTCTTCTTTAGTAGTACAAAGGCAGGAGAGCAAATTATCATATTTTAAAAAGCCATTTACTGTAATCCCTTGGTGATTTTCCCTAGTCTGGCCCAGCCTCGGGAGTATAAAATGAACTGAGCTAGAATAAAAGGACTAACAGGGCCACTCTATGGAGAGAGGGAGGGGGGCTAGGTTGCTAGGTTACCACTTTAGCCAATCCAAGTGCTCCCAGAGGGATACCAGAACAGGACAGGTCTCTCTCTCTCTCCCTCTTCCTCTCTCTCTGCCCCACCAAGTTGAGGGCCCTCAAAGGAAGGGGTCAAAAGATAGGGGGAGGGGCATACCACTCACACTAGGCACAAGAAATGAGGCAGAAGCACAAAGAAACAGACATCCCTGTATTTCTAAAACCATTCAAATCCCCTTCATTAATTGGCTTCCCCAAAAGAGAAAGATTATTTTATTAAGAAATACCAGAGAGTGAAAAAATCCCTATGCATACACATTTGTAGGCTCCCACAAAAGTGCAGAGATTTACATATTAAATTGCATTTAAATTCAAAAATAGATTTTAAGACAAAGTATTTTTTTCCCTCAACAAGGTAAAGAGATTTGGTCAATAGGAAAAGGGGCTGTTGGGAAAAGGCAGGAAGGTCAGGACAGGAAGAATGGAATTCAGCTACTATAGAATTAGAAATCACCTCTGCTACTGGGGGACAAACAAAGGGGGAGATGATGACCTCAGCCAGGGCAAGGGACATGAAGAAATGGCCCAAAATAGCCAACTTCCACTCCCACATGGAGATTATGGATCAGTGCCAACCATCCTGGCCTGGGGAAGTGGGGGGCACAGGAATCTTGAGGAATGGGGAGGAAAGGGAGAGTTGGAAAGTGTGTCAGCCATTGAAAAGAACAAACAATTTACAGCCTATTCCCATGGGAAAGATCAATCCTCAATCTCTCCCTCTGACCATGGCTCAGACTAGGGGCAGTCCCAGCTGGTACGCAGTATGAATGGGATAGCTCTTCTGGTCAAGGTCTTAAACATAGAAGATTTATAAAGGAAAAAAAAAAAGAAGACAGGGAGTATTTAAAAAGCAGAAACTATCACTACTAATAATTCTACACTAGGGAGAAGAGATTTCCATTTTGGCCCTTCACATCAGAAAGGGAAAGAAAAGAAAGCTGCTCTGAGTGACCAAGGCTCAGCGAGGGAGTGGTTGAGGTGAGGAGAGGGAGATCGGTCCAGCCTAACCCAGAAGAGGAGGTGATCTAAGCCAGGATGGGCTAAAGGGGTTCATAGGAGTGGCGGGTTACCTGGAAAATCCTAATAACTTCCAAACCCTCCAGATTTGCCTTCTTCTGAACTTGCCAAAATTTAACTACAAGAGCAAAACTGAGAGAGGCAGAAAAAGAATGGGGAAGCAAAGGCTGCTATAAAGAAATTCTGGGAGCAGTCAAATTTCATTAATTCCAACTAATTAATGGGAAGAGTGAGGTGGGAATTGGCAAGGAGCCTTGATTATAGACTATTTAAAAAGAAATACATACCATCTCTTAAAAAAGATCACTAACAAAATATAGCCAAAGGCAGGCCTTGGTGCAGCCAAGACTCATTTGCAGTGAACAACATCTATCTACACAAAAACAAAAACTCCTAATAAAGAACTTGTTCTGTTCAGTAGAATAAATATAACCCCCTGCCCTCCCAATCTTGTTAACATTGTATATTGCCTTGAAAGCCCTTTCTTAATAGCCTAGTAAAAGGTAAACTTCAGCCCGGAAATGTAGTATGTAGATCAATGGAGAGTTTGTGAGCTCTGTCACCAACATAAAAGGTCCCTGGAAGATGCACGTGTGGCTAGGAAAAAGCAACTGCTTTTAATGTCTACCCCCACCCCCACCTCACACACCAATACATTCACACCCCAGTGGTTCTAGAAATGGAACGGGGGAAGGAGGAGGCAGGCAGTTCGCATTAGACACAGTTTAATTGCCTTCAAATAGATTAAAAGTTCTGGTTTACACTTTCCCCCCTCCCCATAAGTCATCCAGACAGGACCCTGGCTTAGAAAGAGAAAAACACAGGTGCTCTAGGAAATACAGCCACGTATAATACATAAATCTTCTTCCCTGAAATAGAGCAGGTCCCGAGCAGAGCTGCCTGGGGGCACAGCTCACCCCCAGGTGAAGTGGCTCTGGACTCTGCTGGTGGAAGCGCTGGACGAGCGGGGCTTAGAGGAAGACCCGGTGTGGTTACCACAGCCCGAGGTGGGCCAAGGCCTTGGAGTGGGTTACCCAGGAGGGCAGCAGTGCTGGGCTTTCCCTCCTCACTCAGCCTAGGCTTAATGGAAGTATTGGTTATCCTTTTTTTCTTTGTTGACGGGACATAGGGGGAGAGGAGAGGAGAGCCTCTCTGTGCCTTGGTTTCCCCATTTGTGCATTCTGGGCCTCTGAGGCCTCACACAAGGAGTCTGAGGGGGTAGTGTTTAAGTGAGCACTCGGACATCCTCTGAGGAAAAGTAACCAACAAAGTGCAGACTTTTATTACTGCCATTACTGCTCCTAATGGGAGCAAGAGTCAAAAGGAAAAAAATTAAAAAGGGCTAATGAGAAATGAGGAGGGATGAGACAGAGAGCATTACTGGCTATGACATTGGCATCTTATAAGTTCTTATTGAGAATGGCACAAGAATTTTTTTAAAAAAAGTTTCCAAGTCTTCTATGAGAAATGTAAATTGTTATCGCTACTGTAATTACTTACATATATCTAATTGAAAACAGAGGAACTTGGGTGTTAAAGAGTGGAGAGGGGACAAAGGAGCAGCTCCATGAATAAATACAACCATTAGAAGGTGCCTGCCCCATTCTTCAAAGGATTAGCTGGCAATATTGGCACATAAGTAGCTAGGAAACTCCTCCAATCCCACTCTTCCATCCTCTTCAGTTCTGGAGGCCTCAAGAACCTAATTCAGATTTCCTGGCCAGAGGTCTCAGTGATTGCCTCTGGACTCATGACATGCAGCAGCTTGAAAGGATTTTGGCCAATCTCAAGAAACTTTAACCCCTGAATTAGATCAATGACCCCAAACAGGAGAGCTGGAATTTAGAAGGAAGAGAGGGAAGTCCAAAGAAGTTCATGGCTAAGGCCGTAGAAAACCAGTGCCAGGGCCCAAGAGACCCATTTGTCCAGTTACCAGAGGTGAATGACATCTTCTGCTACTGTCTTGAGTCCAGGGAAAAAAGAAAAAAAAAAGCTTGCAAACAAGAAAATGCCAGTGTGCAATTGGGTGGATAAAGGCCAAAGAAAAATAATAAATGGGACAGCTTACTTGCTCTCTGTCTCAGGTTTATCTTCTCCCCTCAAATCTCTCATAGCCCTAATTAAACACAAACAAAAGTCTCTTCCATAGATAGGCTACTTCTCAGTTTCAGCCACCTCCTGTGGTGGCTCTGGGGGTTCTGGGGGTGGCATCCCTTCAGGAGTGTTGGCTTCCTCCGGCATTTCATTTGCACTCAGGTGTTCTGTTGGGACCTGACAAAGAAAAGATATCAAATTCAATGCAAAGTTTCCCTCAAAGTCCAAATGGAGATAATCCACAAACACTGCCTTCTTCCTCTGAACCCACTGACCACACTGATACCACAGATATGTAGCCACCAATAGTAAACTCAGAATCAAGACCATACTGTTCTCAGCAGGATGCACTGGAGTTCATTTGAGCTCAATTCTTAACTGTCTCTTGTGGACAGATGTTTCCATTATTATTCACAATAATAATAGGTGCCACAAATAATTACACAAATTTCCCTTCACAACAGAATGTTATAATGTACTTGTCTAGCAAGGCCTGACCCAGTGGTTCTCAACCTTGTTTCTGCCCCAATGCACACCTCATTAGAAGAGTTGTTCTAAACTAAGGAGGAGGGTACGTGTCAAAATCTTCAGATGATCAGACATGGTTTGAAAATGCCGCCGAGTGATTCTAATAAGCCACTCTTTCCCCACATTCAACTGAAAATCAATGGCATAGATTATTATGACTTAAGATCAGGCTCATCAGAAAAAAAATGATATTAAAAAATGATAATAATATATAAACATAGGTTTACTCCACTTCAAAAAGAAAATCCAAAAATTTAAAAGGCAAATTAGAGAACAATTACCCACTTTACAAAAAGCATTCACTTACAAGTAGAACTCTATTTTAAAATAAAGTTCAAATCTACTAAAAAAAACTATTAGAACTAATAAACGAATTCAGCAAGGTTGCAGGATACTAAGAGAATATACAAAAATCAATTGCATTTCTATATACTCCCAATGAACAATCCAAAAATGGAATTAGGTAAACAATTCCATTTAACTAGGATCAAAAGAATAAAATACTTAGGAATAAATTTAATAAAAGAAGTACATAACTTATACTCTGGGAACTATAAAACATTGTTGAAAGAAATTAAAGACTGAAGTTAATGAAAAAGCATCCTGTGTTCATGGTACAGAAGACTTAATATTGTTAGGATGGCAATATTCCTCAAATTGAACTACAGATTAAATGCAATCTCCATTAAAATTCAGCAGGCTTCTTTGTAGAAACTGACAAGCTGATCTTAAAATTCATATGGAAATTCAAAGGATTCAGAATATACAAAACAATTATGAAAAAAAAAGTTGAAGGACTAACACTTTTTGATCTCAAAACTTACTTAAAAGTTTACAAAGCTAGCAAAATTAAGATCATATTATATTGGCAAAAGGACAGAAGTATAGGTCAGTAGAATAGAATTGAGAGCCCAGAAATAAACTCTCACATTTATGATTAATTGATTTTTTTATAAGGATGTCAAGACAATTCAATGGAGAAAGAAAAGTCTTTTCAACAAATGGTCCTGGGACAACTACATATTCATAAGCAAAAGAAAGCATGTAGACCCCATACCTCACATCATATATAAAGATTAACTTCAAATGGATCAAAAATCTAAATTTAAGAGCTAAAACTCTTAAAGAAAACAGAGGCACAAGTTTTCATGACCTTGGATTAGGTAATGGTTTCTTATATCTGACACCAAAAGTACAAACAACAAAAGAAAAAACAGACAAATGGGAGTTTATAAAAATTTAAAAACTTTGTACTTCAAAGGACACCATCGAGAAAATGAAAAGATAATCCACAGAATGGGAGAAAATATTTGCAAATCATATATCTGATAAGAGAACTACATATAGAATATATAAAGAACTCTCACAACTCAACAATAAAAAAACAACACATTTAAAAAGTGGACAAAAGATCTAAATAGACATTTCTCCAAAGAAGATAAACAAATGGCGAATAAGCACACGAAGAGATGGTCAACATCATTAGTCATCAAGGAAATGCAAATCAAAACCACAATGAGATGCCACTTCATACCCACAAAGATAGTTACACTTGACAAAAAAAGAGGAAAATAACAAGTATTGGCAAAGATACAGAGAAATCTGATCCTTCACACATTGCTGTTATGTACGTAAAATAATGAAGCCTCTTTGGCAAACAGGCTGGCAGTTCCTCAGAAGGTTAAACACAGAGTTACTATATAACCCCTCAATTCTAATCCCAGGTATACAGCCAAAAGAAATGAAACCATACGTCAACACAAAAACTTGAACATGAATGTTCATAGCAACTTTATTCCTAATAGCCAAAATGTGAAAACAACCCAAATGTTCATCAACTGATGAATGAATAAAATGTAGTATATCCATACAATGGAATACTTGTCCATAAAAATGAATGAAGTAATAATGCATTCTACAATATGGATGAACCTTGAAAACATTATGCTAAGTGAAAGAAGCCAGTCCCAAAAGACCACATATTATATAATCCCGTTTATTTGAAATGCCCAGAAGAGGCCAATCTATAGAGACAGAATTAGATTTGTGGTTGCCTAGGGGAGAGGGGGGCATGGGGAGAAGTGGGAGAAAAAGGGCTACGATTACTAACGGGTACAGGGGTTGTGGAAGAGTAATGAAAATGTTTTAAAATTGTTGTGATGATTATACAACTCCGTGGATATACTAAAAACCAGGGAATTGTGCATCTGAAATAAGGTGAATTATGTTATATGACTTATCTCCATAAAGCTTTTATAGAAAAGAAAGTTCAAGTGATACCTTTTCAAGAACATGCCTACTTTACAGCATGTATGTTAGATAAGACAACTGGGACAGTTTCCACAATATCTGCATATTTGAGCAAGAGAGCACCCATTCTACTAAGGTAAAACCAAAAACCCAAACTCACTGCCATCGAGTTGATTCTGACTCATAGTGGCCCTACAGGACAGAGTAGAACTGCCCCATAGGGTTTCTAAAGCTGTAAATCTTTACAGAAGCAGACTGACTCATCTTTCTCCCACACAGTGGTTGGTGGGTTCAAACTGCCAACTTTTTGATTAGCAGCCTACTGCTTTAACCACAGCTCCACCAAAGCTCCTCTACAGAGGTAAGAAACTCACCAACTCCAGCATGATCTCCTGACCCCACTCTTTGCTCCTATAGTGTTTTATGTGTCCCTTATCGAGGAACTTTTCACAAACATTGTGTTTTGCCCCTGTCCCCCAACCCCAGACAATGAGCTCCTTGAGAGCAGGGACACCATTTGCCTTGCTCTCTGCTGTCTCCTTACTGCCTTGCACAGTGGCTGGCACCGAGGAGCTGCTCAACACATGTTGAATAAATGAATTAATCTTCATCTACCTCAAGGGCACAAAGATCTGAAGGCAATGTCAGGACAGAAGCAGAGACAAGGGAGCCAGGGTGATTAGGATATAAACTTGCCTAATTATATTTCTAAGCTGTAAAGTGAGCCTGTTGTTGTTGTTGTTATGTGCTATGGAGTCAGACTCAACACCTAACGACCCCTCCTTGGGATTCTGAGGCGGTATCACTACGGAAGTAGATTGCCCAACCTTCCTTCCGAGGAGTGGCTGGGGGGTTGGAACCGCCAGCCTTCTGCTTAGCAGTCAAGTGCCTTAGGCACTACGCCACCAGAGTCCCAAAGTGAGCCTACACCCTCTCTATCACTGACTCAGTCTGGAAATCAGGAACACTTACTGGGCTCTGTGGCAAGACGCTGCTACTGGTCTCTTGAGTACTGGGAGGCCGACTTCCACTTTCCTCCAGTGGCAAAATACCTCTTCGATCCAGAACACTGAAGGGTCAGGAGATGGGAGAGTTAATAATACACTTAGCATTCACTCTTACACACACATGCACACACCCCACTGAACCTTCTATGAAGACTGGAAAATATAAGCCTGTCCTTTGGCCGGAGAGCCTGAGCCTAGCATCTGCCTCCTATCTTCCAGCCACTTCTTTTTGAACAAAGCAGGGAACACTACATTAATCGAGGAAGAAACAAATGAAATAAGCATGCAAGCAAGATTCACCCAAACAAGCAGCTCATGGTCTGTACTCTATGCCGCATAAACACGTACCAAGGGACAAGCCCTGAGAAGACCTATTTCACACTAACGGGCCACATTCAAAAGAACGTATCACACTAGGTAATAGGGTTGAATTGAGTTACTCATCCCAAGAACCCCAGGACCTCCTAGTCCCCTGAGTACCTGGGGGGCAAGGGGCCACACAGCACTTCACAGCAGTTCGTCATAATGTTGCCATGGCTGTAGGGATTCTGGACACGATTCTTCCCTGTCCATGAACCTTTGATCTTCAAAATAAAATCCAAAGCTTATATTAAAAATTATGTTTAAAAAAATTGTGTTTCTAACGTATAAATAGACATAGAAAAATTTCACAATAGAATGAGTGGAAAAAAGCAGGTCACTTGAAATGATATGCATAATTTTTATTTTAAAAATATGTAATATATACATAAACAAACATAAGAACAAGTCTAGACAAGTCTGTTGTTGTTGTTAGGTGCCGTTGAGTCGCCTATGACTCATAGAGACCCTGCGTACAAGAGAACAAAGCACTGCCCGGTCCTGTGCCAGCCTCACAATCCTTGCTGTGCTTGAGCCCATCGTTGCAGCCACAGTGTCAATCCATCTCATTGAGGGCCTTCCCCTTTTTTGCTGACATTCTACCTTACCAAGCACTATATCCTTCTCCAGGGAGTGGTCCATTCTGACAACATGACCGAAGTAGGTGAGATGAAGTCTGGCCATTCTCACTTCCAAGGAGCATCCTTGCTGCATTCTTCCAGAAAAGATTGGTTGGTTCTTTTGGCAGTCCATGGTATTTTCAGTATTCTTTGCCAAAACCACAATTCAAAGGCATTAATTAACTCTTCTTCAGACTTCCTTATTCATTATCCAGCTTTCACATGCATATGAGGGGATTGAAAATACCATGGCTTGGGTTAGGCACACCTTAGTCTTTAAAGTGACAACTTTGCTTTTTCACATTTTAAAGATCTTTTGCAGCACATTTGCCCAATGCAGTAGGACATCTGATTTCTTGACTGCTACTTCCCTGAGTGTTGTGGATCCAAGTAAAATGAAATCCCTGACAATTTCAATCTTTCCTCCATTTATTGTGATGTTCCTTATTGGTTCAGTTGTGACGATTTTCATTTTCTTTATGTTGAGATGTAATCCATACTGAAGACTGTAGTTTTTGGTGTCCATCAGTAAGTGCTTCAAGTCCTCTTCACTTTCAGCAAGCAAGGTTGTTAATGGTGGTTCTTCATATAATCCCGCTTCTCGGATTATTTGCTCAGCATACAGACTGAAATAGTATGATGGAAGGATACAACCCTGACACACTCCCTTCCTGATTTTAAACCACGCATTATCCCCTTGTTCTGTTTGAATGACAGCCTCTTGGTCTATGTACAGGTTCCTTATGAGTACAATTTAAGTGTTCTGGAATGCCCATTCTTCAGTGTTATCCATAATTTGTTAGACTCTCTACACAGTCAAATGCCTTTGCATAGTCAATAAAACACAGGTAAACATCTTTCTGGTATTCTCTGCTCTCAGCCAAGATTCATCTGACATCAGCAATGACGTCCCTCATTCCACATACTCTTCTGAATCCAGCTTGAATTCTGGCAATTCCCTGTCAATATACTGCTGCAACCATTATTGAATTACCTTTAGCAAAATTTTACTTGCATGTGATACAAATGATATTGTTTGATAATTTCCACATTCTGTTGGATCATCTTTCTTTGAAATGGGCACAAATACTGATCTCTTCCAGTTAGTTGGCCAAGTAGCTGTCTTCCAAATTCCTTGGTACAAACAAGTGAGCCCTTCCAAAGTTGCATCGCTTTGTTGAAACATCTCAATGGATATTCCATCAACTCCTGGAGCCCTGTTTTTTGTGAGTTCTCTCAGTGCAGCCTGGACTTCTTCCTTCAATACCATTGGTTCTTGAACATACACTACTTCTTGAAATAGTTGAACATTGACTAATTCTTTTTGGTACAGTGATTCTGTGTATTCTTTCCATCTTCTTTTGATGCTTCCTGCATCAATCAATTTTTTGCCCATAGAATCCTTCAATATTGCAACTCAAGGCTTGAAGTTTTTCTTCATTCTTTCAGCTTGAGAAATGCTGAGTGTCTTCTTCCCTTTTGATTTTCTAACTCCAGGTCTTTGCACTTTTCATTACAATACTTTTGTTTTCTCGAGCTGCCCTTTGAAATCTTCTGTTCAGGTTTTTTTATTTCATCATTTCCTCCATTCGTTTTAGCTACTCTACATTCAAGAGCAAGTTTCAGAGTCTCTCCTGACACCCATTTTGGTCTTTTCTTCCTTTCCTGTCTTTATAATGACCACTCACATTCTTCATGTATGATGTTTTTGATAACATCCCACAACTTGTTTGGTCTCTGGTCACTGGTGTTCAATGCATCAACTCTGCTTTGAATTACTTAGCACTATCTTTCTTTCTTAGTTGCAGAATGTCTGCTCTGACAACAATGTGAAACCAACAGACCCACTCCTTCAGGTGTAATCTATCTCATCAAACAGGATCTATCTGAAAAAGGTCCCTGAAATCATTTCTAATTCCAAGGCCATATTTGGCAACTACCGATGATTCTTCTTTGTTTCCAGGTTTTGCATTAGAATCCCCAGTAATTACCAATACATCCTGATTGCATGCTTGGTCAGTTTCACACCACAGAAATTGGTAAATATCTTTATTTGAGTAACAGTAGTATTAACTGGTCTTCTTTATAGGCGTATGTATGTTATCCTACCACTGACAGCATTATACTTCAGGATAGATCTTAAAACATTCTTTTTGATGATGAATGCAACACCATTCCTCTTCAAGTTGTCATTACCAGCCTAGTAGACCATATGACTGTCTCATTCAAAATGGCCAGTACCAGTCCATTTCAGCTCACACTAAATGGCTAGGATATTGATCTTAATGCATTCCATTTAATTTTTGACAACTTCCAATTTTCCTAGATTCATACTTGATACACTCTATGTTCCTATTATTAATGGATGTTTACAGCTGTTTCTTCCTATATTGAGTCATGCCCCATCAGCAAATGAAAATCCTGAAATCTTTACTCCATCCATGTCATTAAGGTCAACTCTACTTTGAGACTGGGGAAGAGCTAGACAAGTCTGTTGTTGTTGTTATGTGCCGTCGAGTCGGCCCCACCTCATAGCAACCCCTCCTTGGGTTTCCGAGGCAGTATCACTACGGAAGTAGGATTGCCCAACCTTCCTTCCGAGGAGTGGCTGGTGGGTTTGAACCA